GGGAGAGATCTGGAGTTAGCCTGTGGTTAAAGCCATCCTCCTCCGAGGACTCACTGCAGACTTTCTTTCTCAGCAATCTAACTGACCCTCTCACCTACCACCTACGTTTTGTTGACTCATATTTGCTTTCACAGCTGAAGCAGTCACTGTGAAAGGATAGAAAGGAAAGCTTTAGGGGCATCTATTCCAAATGCCGTTTCTGCCACCAGCCAGCTGTACGATGACTTAGACAAATTACCTAACTTCTCTGCCCCTCAAGGGCCCCATCTGTAAAATGGAACGATAGCAGCACTGACCTGCCTGCAGGGTGGTTGTTGCTACTCAGTGAGATAATGCATAGTTTGGGGGCTCAGGGTATGCCTGGGTTCTAGCTGTATAACCATGTAGCTTGCCTCTCTGCCTCAGTTTCCTCATCTGTTAGGTGTGAGTAATAGTGGTGTTACCTTGCAGGACTACTGTGAAGAGCACATGAGTTGATGTACAGTGGGCTTGGCTCTTGGTGGTGGTTGGTGAGTGCTCAGTCGATCCGAGTGTTTATGACAATGCTGAGACAGAGACTCGGATGCCAGTCCCATAATGAGTTCTCAAAAGCTAGGGCTTTAAAATAAAAAGGCCCCTCCTGGGGAGGCAAAGGCCATCTACCTATGAAGCCTGCAGCCTAGCTGGTGTGGCTCAGTGGTTGAACATTCACCTATGACCCAGGAGGTCATGGTTCGATTCCTGGTCAGGGCACATGCCCAGGTTGTGAGCTTGATCCCCAGTGTGGGGCATGCATGAGGCAGCTGTTCAATGATTCTCTCTCATCATTGATGTTTCTGTCTCTCTCTCCCTCTCCCTTCCTCTCTGAAATCAATAAAACTATATATTTTTAAAATGCCTCCAAATATTGCCAACTGTCCCTTGGGAGGGGGGGGGGCGAAATCACCTCGGATTGAGAACCCCTGCTCCAGCAGATGGAGCGTGACAGGCACTGTTAGTCTCCCGCTCCAAGGACAGCCCTGGACGCAGAGCATTTGTCCTGGCACAATGAGTGGGCCGGCACGTGCAGAGCCCAGTGGGTGGTCAGCAGCATTTGTCCTGGCACAATGAGTGGGCCGGCACGTGCAGAGCCCAGTGGCAGGTGGTCAGCTCCGAGCAGCCTGGCAGCAAGCACCAGGAGCGTGGGTCAGGGCTAGGACCCCATCTGCTGGGAGCCCAGCAGTCAAGCAGGGTCAGATCACAGCTCATATGACGTTAAACCTGGGCACACTCTGTCACTCTTTCCTTTCCTAACCAGGACCAGGACTGGGTCCAGGGTCTGGGCAGGACCACACCCTGAGGGAGGGAGTGAGAGCTTACCTGGAAGGTCATCCCACCCCTGATGACCTTCATGACGTCTAGCTGAAGAGCACAGGCTTCTGGGCAAGAGAGACCTGGTTCAAATCCAGGCTCTGCTGCATGGAAATTAAACCTAAAAAGAAAAAGAAAAACCCCAGGCACTGACCCTTAAAACAGGGAGACCACCTCAGCCAGGTTGCTTACCCTCTGAGCCTCTGGCTCCTCGTCTGTGATATGAAGATGATGGCGCCAGCCTCACCTGGTGGTTGTAAAGAGTAAATGTCCTGTTGTAATGACCGTGGGTAGCATACACCCGCCACGTAATGGGCGCTCAGTGAATGCTGTTGATTGAATGAGTGAGTCCTTTTGCAGCAAACCTTGCTCCCCTAAATCCTCTTGTTATTTTAGTTCTCTTCCCTGGAATTTCTCCAGCTTTCTAACATAGGAAACCGTTGACTTCTCAACCGGAGGAAGTGAGTTATTCCTTTCTGTATAGCATCAGGCCTGGAAGATAGTGAGTGCTTAAAAAATGAAGTTTCCTTTCTCGACGGGCAATGACTGTGCCTCAGTCAGCTCTATGTAGTCATAGCCCAGCACAAAAACTGACATGGTAGGTGATCACTGAATGAATGAATGAATGAATGAATATACAAAAATGTTGAAGAAAGCCATGGCCCAGGCACAACCCCAGGATCCTCCCTAGGAATCCATTCCTACATGTCACTTAGGAAGGACATTGCTGCTTACCAGGAGGAGGTGTCCTCACCAAGGCGCTGGGTGACAGAGGAGGATCTCGGGCAGAACTTCTGTGCCCCGGGCAGCTGCTGGGGACCCTTCCCTGGGGCCCACTGCAGGCTGTTCCCGCCGCCCCCGGGAACTGGTCCAGCCTTCATGATCCTCCCTGCCACAGCAGGCCGGGGTGGGTCCTCCTCCCTCGGGAGGTGGCAGTGTGGGCTGTACCCTGCAGGGTCAGGTACATAGACATAAGAGACAGCGTGGTTTGTTACGAAGACCCATGGCTAGTGAGTCAGGAGACCTGGGTTCTGCTCCCATCCCAGTCACCCACCCACACAGTGACCCTCTCTGGGCCTGTCTCCCCATCTGTACAATGCGGACTTGGCCATGCTTGGAACAGTTATATCCTTTGGTGCGTGGCCAGGGAGACAGGTCAGTCCACAGCCATGTCACTGAGCAAGTGACTCACATGGGACACCAACCAGTGACCTCAAGGCACTGCTGGGTTTCTCAAAGCCACCGGCTCCCCAGGCACCTGGGTGCTGCAGGGCAATGAACAGTGTCAGGTGATCATCTGCTCCGAAACCTGGACGTCTGATGAAAGCTGCAGGGCAGGGCACAGGTAGATTGTCCCAAGGGGGCTAAAGATTTTCAAGGGGGACCCTCAGGGTCTCATTGAAGGGTGTGGGGGGAATGTTTGTGAGAGCTGACGTCTTTTCTAGAACTCCCCCATCTCTCTTCCCTTCCACGGTGCAGAATTAACTGACAAATAGGTGCTTTCCCTTTGCTGAAGTCTGTGAGGACGGATGGGGGAGCGCCAGCCCTGGAGAGCTGGAAGGAGCCAAATTCCCTCGCATCAGAACAGGAGCCCGGA